TCCCTCGTCTAGGATTTCGAGCCACTTGTTGTCCGTGTGTGTAATTTGCTTTGGAAATTGTTCGTGATTCACCGATGGTAAACATTGTTTCATTGTTTTCTTTTTCAATGCTCAAATCACAAGTCGAGGCTCGAAATTAAGATGACCGTGAAGATAATCAGTAACAGTAAAGAAAACCAAAAGGGGAAAAATTGTAAAATATTAATGCTTGCAAGATTTTATTGACTAGTGCCAGAAAATCTCCCTTATCTGCCAGTCGCTTCGCGCTTTAATCCGTCCTTCCCTTGATGCACTGCGATCTCACTAAATCCTTCCCATAAATCACAATGCATACAGAGAAGCGAATGGGTACGAGTCTGTACTTTTTGGAGGAGATCCTTTGGCCCAACAGGAAAATCTGAACCCTGGCAAAGTGCCTACATAAGCAGCTGGATCTGACACTATTACTATGGGTGAAAGCTGCTAAAAAGAAAATTAATAAACCCCATATTTCATTTACTAAATTGTAAAAGGATTTTCCAAAAACAATAAATTAAACCAAAACATGATCGTGTGGAAACTAACTCAGCTGGTGTGGAATAAGAAGCTTGCATGGTTTTAGCCCAGCCAAGCAATGACGAACAAACAACTTTTAACATGAGATCAAAATTTCTAAAGTTTGGCATCCTGAAGCTGATGAACAAACAAATCGTGAAAACAGAATCCAGTTAAAATTTTAGGCCAACAGTTTCAGGACTTCAAGCCCTTTGCCCTCAATTCCCCTTGTTATTAGCTTGTGAAGGGTACCAAGAAAACAAGATTTAAAACAATGATTTGCTCATCATGGTAAAAAAAAGTCAAGTTGCTCAAATAAACATATAAATATAAATATTTTTTATATAAAATATGCCCGATTTGTCACATTTTTAGTCCTGATTTTTTAATAAATTTAACATTGCTTTCCTTGCCCGCGCTGTCGTAAAATATTGACCTAAGCAATAAAAGTTGGGGAAAAATGTCTGGTCAGCGAGAAGCTTTATTAAAACCATGGAAAGCAAAATCTCCATTGGCGCTCAAGTGCAGATACACATGAAGGTGACGCTAAAAGGCAGCAAGAAGAAATAAAAATGTTAATTGGGCATGCTTGTAATCATACATGCGAACAGATTTTGGATTTTCTTGCTAGACAATATTCTAAAATTATGTACTTTCTAAATAGAGCGTTTAGTTTCCTTGATTTAACAGAAAATATAGTGACCTAAAAGGGAAACTTTATATTTTATCCAACACTAATGGCCAAGAAATTGTTAGTTAATATTTGGGTATCAGGCCATCTATTTTTTTTTAAGGCGTCACTAAAAGAGTCCATATGGAAATCACAGTTGGTGGTTTTGAAGAGTTGAAATCGATTTTGTTTTATATATTTAATAGCTCAATAAGTCCTTTGCAGTTATATAACCATGATCTTAACCATATTTGATCATATTCAAGCTGCCATACTGGATTATCGAACATCTGTTCGAAATTCCTACAACTTTATTTCAGCAAGCAAATATTAATATAAATAAATAAGCTTGTTTCCAATTTTTTTTAATTTCCGAGTTACGCTATTGAAAAAAAGATTAATTTCTTCTAACACTTGAACGTGTTTGTGCTTCTTTTATTTACTAAAACAAGAATAATAATTGTTCCCAAAAATGTTAGTTCAACAACAACTTCAAAGACGCAAGCTACAGTCACCCAGTTTGGAAAAGATATATGTATGGTATTCGAGCTTTACTAAACTTACCAAAACGACGAAGAATAGGAATTTTTAGATTCTAAGACAACAACGACTACGAGGACAATATTTTCTCAATTCTAAGAAATAAGGGCTCGTTAACCTGTGTCACTCGGGAGGGAAAACGTGATAGCCGTCGTCAACGTACTACGGGTTGTAATCGGGATAGGGCTTAATAACCGGGCTGACTGTCATGGGAAAAAAATTTACAATGAATCTATCCAGGGAAACTATTTTTGAGAGCGTTGACCGGTTGATAATCTGCATTTAGGTACGTTTAACTTATTTCTAGCCCTACATCCTGACACAGTAAATCTGTCATGAAATAAATTGCAAAGAACGCTTTCCAAAATATTTTCCAAAATAGTTTTTGTCGGCGAGTTTTTAAAACCGTTTCAACTCTTGAGTTTTCACGGACGTAATTTGCAGTTCAATTAATAAAATTGTCATTTATTTCTAACACTTAGAACAACATGTCCTCAAAAATTAATCTCTTCCAATACACTAAATTGATCCCCTCCATGGCCGCTTAGACTGAATTCCATTCAGAATTCTTCAGCCCCCCGATCTGATGCCACAGAAATTCTGCGTCCCCCTTGATTTGATGGTCTGTTATCGTTTCTCGAAAGTATTCGTCAATTGGAGAATTAGAAGGACTCATAAGGAAGTACATGTATTTACTTATACATTTGTCAACCCAAACATTTACCTTCTTTTTTCAGAAACGGCAAATTATTGATG